AGTTTTGATAAGGTTAGGTTGTAATCTTTTGATAATAAATCTGGTACCATCACAAAGATCCCATTTACTATTGAGATTTCTCAATAGCATGATGATTGCACCCACTTTCAATTCTTGGCAGCACATTACAATCACCTGGGAATCTTTTTAAAATCCTGATTCCTGTGCCTCATTCTCCAGAAATTGTTTCTTTGTTATGGGGTGGGGCCACAACATCAGTAACTAAGAAACCAAATTAAAACTTTATTGTGGGGAGCCGCTACAATGTTTTGGACAGGTTCAAGCCTTGGACTGAGGAGAGGGCACAGTCCTCTCATTGCCACATGCAAGTCCCAGCTTGGAGGGCAGGGCCCTCCCAGCACAATTATAGCCAACAGCTATAGCCAACAGTAGTTGTAAGCTTGAACCTATGGTCCGAACACGTGGCCCCACGTGCCTGAGTGATGTAGGCTTGATAGAGTTCAGATGCATGTAGTTTAGTAGGACTGAAACCCAGGAGAATGTTGTAAGCATCGTGGTCACGCCCTTACTTTGCATCGTAGCTTCTGCTATAAAATAAAAGCATGGCTGTGGACATTATCGCTGTCTCTCAGAGAAGCAGCGTCCCACCGAGTCCCGGCTTTCATTCTCTTCTCTATCTTTTCTAAGCCTTTCAGCCACCCCCACTCAGGTTCACCCCTGGCTGTGCTGGTGCGGCACACTCCCAGGGAACCACGCTCCCAGGGCGGGTTCCTGCCTCAAACCCCGACCTTGCCTGAAACAGCTCCTGGAAAACAGCTCAGGTAGGGTGCAGCTGTTGCCAAGACAACCCCTGCAGGACTGACTTCCTTCCGGTTGGTCGCCAGCCAGACCCCAGTCGTGATGAACACCACCCATGGTTTTTATATAAGTAGATTTGTAAGAAACCTATTGTCATTTCAACATTTAAATGACAGAATATTGTTCTTGGGGGTGTAGGAAGGAGATGTGCTGGTGAGGGAAAAAGGAGGAATATAGGAATGGATGGAGGTCAGCTAGGAAGTCAAAGGTTGCTACTCTGTATACCTGAGAGCATATTGTATAGTGTTAGCTTAGGTGTCAGTTTGGAAGTGGTACTTGTAAGATAGCCACTCTTCTATTTTAGCTGTGGGCTATAATGATGATGTAGGTAATAATTCATTCTTTCTGTCATGGACTCATGCCAGACTTTTTAAGTTACTAAAAACACTAATTTCTCAGTGAGCCAAATCAGAGAAAAGGGGGCTTTGGAGACAGTTTCAGGGGGTTAGCCCAGGTTGAGCTGCCTCTGGCCATTGCTCCCCTGATTGCAGGGCTCCTGGTATCCCCTAGAGTTTAGGAGATGCATGCCTGAGAGGGAAAAAGAAGGGGAAGAGAAAGGTGTTTGCATGCTCTCAGGAGAGGGAGCATGTCATCACACTTAAATTTACATTTCTGTTATTACTAGCACAATTATACATTTTCATATGTTTACCAATCTTGCAAATTGTCTTTTGCAAATTTCTATTCATTACTTTTGCCCATTTTCCTGTTGAGCCTTAGTATTCTATTTTTTCATTGATTTTTATTAGACTTTTAATTCACAAGGATATAAACCCCTTTTCTATTATATTTAAAAATACAATTATCTATATTTACTTGCTCCTTGCTTCTGATATTTTTACATTTAACATTTTGATACTATTAAATTTAACATCTTCATTATAATTTTTCCATGGCTTACTTTTCTGTCCATAGCTTCAGAAAACTGAAATTCTTGTGTAGTATTTACAATGACCTTGTCTTTCTCTATAACTCTAAGTCATAGGGACATTAATTTTGGAGTATGGTATGAGGCAAAGATCTGTATTGTTTCCACCTAACTAGGCATTTCCCCACACCATTTCTGTTATTACTAGCACAATTACACATTTTCATATGTTTACCAATCTTGCAAATTGTCTTTTGCAAATTTCTATTCATTACTTTTGCCCATTTTTCTGTTGAGCCTTAGTATTTAATTCATTTTTATTTAAGGTTATTATTGATCGATACTTTTTTACTGCTATTTGTATTTTGTTTCCCTAAATTTCTCTCTCTATTTCTTCTTCTCATTTCAGCAGTCCCTTTAGCATTTCTTGCAATGCTGTTGGTGGTGATAAGCTCCTTTGGCTTTTTTTTTTTTTATGTCTGGGAAGGTCTTTATTTCACCATCTATTTTGAATGATAGCCTTGCTGTATATATTCATCTTGGTTTCAGATCTTTGCTTTTCATTACCTTGAGTACTTCATTCCAGTTCATTCTTACTGGTTGAGTTTCTGATGATAAATCAGCTGACAGCCTATGTGAGTTCCTTTGTAGGTAAGAAATTACTTTTCTCTTGCTGCCTTTAAGATTCTCTCTTTTTTTGTTTGTTTAATTTTTGACATTTTAATTATGATGTGTCTTGGTGTTGGGCTCTTTAGGTTCTTCTTGCTTGGGACTTTCTCTGCCTCCTAATTGTGTGAATTTTTCCTTCACCAGGTGAGGGAAATATTCTGCTATTATTTGTTCAAACATGTTCTCTGTCTCTTGCTCACTTTCTTTCCCTTCTGGTACACATATTATGCGAATATTTTTCCATTTTATGTTGTCCCACAGCTCAGCTGTCTTCTTGTTTTTTAATTGTGTTTTTCTTTTTGTTCTCTGTGTGATTTTTTTCTGTCCTGTCTTCTAATTCACTAATCTAGTCCTCAGCTTCCCCTAATCTGCTGTGTATTCTTTCCAATGTGTTCTTTATTAGTACTAGGTCATTCTTTATTTCCAACTGTTCTTTTTCCATAGTTATTATATCTTTTCTCATATTGTTGAGCATTATTTACCAACATTATTCTGAATTCTATATCAGATAAATTTCTTGTCTCCATTTCATTTATCTCTTCTTCTGAAAAATTCTCTTGTTCTATTATGTGGTGTTTGTTTTTTGTCTTGTAATTATTGCTACCTGTTTGGGTTTATGAGTATGTATTAGGTAGATTTGATATAATTCCCAATCTCTAGTGAAGGACAGTGTCAAATGCTGTTTCTGACTAATTAGATCAGGCAAAGAATCAAAGCCTCCGGAGACCCATCTCTGCCTGAGACTGACTGGATTCAGTCTTGAGTAGTCCTTAGGCAATCATACACAGGTGTGGTGAGAGGTTTGAAAACTGGGCACTTGGAGCAATTGCTTCTTCCTATAGATTATTATTCTCTGTCTCTTTTAAAATAATGTATTTTTGTTGATTTCAGAGAGGAAGAGTTAGAGAGAGAGAAACATCAGTGATGAGAGAGAATTATTGATCACCTGCCTCCTGCATGCACTCTACTGTGGACTGAGTCCAAAACCCAGGCTTGTGCCCTTGACTGAAATAGAACCTGGGACTCTTCAGTCCACAAGCTAGTGCTCTATCCACTGAGCAAAACGAGCTAGAGCTAGGGTGTCTGCTTTCTGAGCTAATCCAGAGCCCCCAAATCTAACTTCTGCTCACAGAGCTCCAGTCCACTCTGCTTTCCCTCTGCAAGAGCCCAGAGTGAGTGGCTGCACATTAAATTTTGTGCATTGGCCCTTTAAGAGGGTGCCTGCATTTTCAGCCATTTCTGGCTGGCAGACAGCAACCCTGCTGCTTTTCACAGCCAGATGTTATGTGGGCACCTTTTTTAGTTCTGGTGCTCTCTGCTGGGGCCCCCGCCTTGGGATTAAACTCCAGAGTTCTTAGTTAGAACCCCCCACAGCTGAGATATATCTCCAGAAGTTTATCTGCTGTATCTTAGAGCCCATCCAATCCTTTCACATCTCCACCCTTCTTACCAGTCTCTCTGAGGTCTCCATTTTCCATGCTTGGTTATCAGGGTTCTCTCCAGCTAGTC